TTTAATTGACAGTGTGTGTGTGTGCATTTAACTCTCTTACATCCCCTAAAGATGAATTAATAATGGTGATAAAAACACTCAAGATTTAATCTGAGCTGAAGTGAAAAATTGATAATGACAGAAAAAGTGTCTGTAGGGTGTGTATCCAGCTGCTACGAGTCTGATGCTGCCTTTATACATGACCTGCAGTCACCATGGAAACACGAAGAGAGAGAGAGAAAGCTGTCACATTACTCCTGCACCAAGAAAAAATCCTAACAACATTTCTTGCAATAAAGTTTTCTAAACTGATGATCTGACATGACAACTGTCCCCAAAACGGCATCATACATGGTTCCTGGACTTCCTGACGGGACCCCCCAGGTGCTAAGGGTAGGCAACAACACATCCGACACGCTGACCCTCAACACGGGAGCCCCTCAGGGGTGCATGCTTAGTCCCCTCCTGTACTCCCTGTTCACCCACGACTGCGTGGCCGCACACGACTCCAACACCATCATTAAGTTTGCCGACGACACGACGGTGGTAGGCCTGATCACCGACGACGATGAGACAGCCTTTAGGAAGGAAATCAGAGACCTGGCAGTGTGGTGCCAGGACAACAACCTCTCTCTCAACATCAGCAAGACAAAGGAGCTGATCGTGGACTACAGGAAACTTAGGGCCGAGCACGCCCCCATTCACATCGACAGGGCTGTAGTGGAGCGGGTCGTTACATCACTAAGGATCTATCATAGTCCAAACACACCAACACAGTCGTGAAGAGGGTACGACAACACCTCTTCCCCCTCAGAAGGCTGAAAAGATTTGGCATGGGCCCTCAGATCCATGCGGAGGAAGGCCCTAAAAATTGTCAGACTCCAGCCTCCCAAGTCCTCCCCTCAGCAGCCTCCACTGCTACCCTGACTATCTGCAGTGATCTTTTTGCACTCATCACATCCGCCGCTGCTACTGTTTGCTAGCTGTTACTTTATTCCTAGTTATATGTACATATCTACGTCAATTACCACATCGCCTCGGTACTGGTACCCAGTGTATATAGCCACGTTATCGTTACTCATTGTGTATCTATTATTACTTTTATTATTACGCGTTTTACTTTTCTATTATTTCTCTATTGTCTTTCTCTCTGTATTGTTGGGAAGGGCCTGTAAGTAAGCATTTCACTGTTAGTCCACACCTGTTGTTAACGAAGCATGTGACAAATACAATTAGATTAGATTTCCTCACAGACGTTTCACACAGGTTAGCATTTATTGGGATGACTCATGTACTGGAGGCAGCTCTGCAGAGTGGTCACTAGCTGGCACAGCCACAAAGTCATAAAATCTGATTTTAAACATAACCCTAACCTTAACCCTTAATCACAATGCTAACCCTAATGCTAACCCTAACCTTAAATTAAGACCAAAAAGCTTAAAATAATAAAAAAAAAAGTCATTTTTGTTTTCATACATTTTCACAATATAGACATTTCTGACTTTGCAGCTGGTACATTTAGCAGAAATGGCTCAGTGCTGCCTCTAGAACAAGACTCATCCCAATAAACGTCAGCCTGCCCATTTCACACTCGCAGCTAAAATTTTCCATCATGTCTATTGGGAAACTACACGGCACAACACTGCCACCAAGTGATCAAAATATGAACACACCTCTAAAATAATTTTACCAAACAGGTTACAGTACTTGACTTCGGTCATGTTTTATTTATTTATTAACAGTTCAACCTTTTTTATTTTTTTCCCAAGACAAGACATAAGAGGTATATATACATAGCCCATGTATATCTCATTTGTTTGAGTTATCATGAGCAATAACATCCACTTCATGTACACCGTTAGTATTTACATAGTCTGCGTCCCAAATGGCACCCTATTCCCTATATAGTTCAATACTTTTGACCAGAGCCCGATGGGCCCTGGTCAATAGACCCTGGTCAAAAGTAGTGCACTAATAAGGAAATAGGGTGCCATTTGAGACAAAGCTATAGTCATTTTTCTTATCTTCAGAAATGAACATGTTCACTTGTTAGGCACGTTTGTATAATAATCCTCTCATGAAGATGCTGGGTGTAGATAAACAGAAAGAGCACATGGTGGAATGTGTTGTCTCATGGTTAGAAATCATCATCCTACAAACACAACTATGAATCATGTTACACAAAATAAGAAAAATACGTAATGGGGGGGGGGGGGGGGGGGGGGCATTTCAGATTTGTGGGCAATGAAGTTCTAAAACGGTTCCAAAAATATAGCAGTCCTAGAGATATGTATTGTAACCATTCCGATATACTTTTCCATAACATATAATTACAATGCAATAGTCTTCATCATATAATTCATAATACTAATAATCATTTTTACTCTTACAGGCAAGGTACAATATAACACTGTAGGAAATTCAACAACAGTCACTCTGACTGAAAGTAGCTGTTGACCTTCTGACATCAATTTATGGATTCTTGGTCAAAATACTTCACAATAGGATTGGGGTTGGAGGTGACAGATAGGAAGCTTTACCTTCTCCTGCTCACTTCAATCATGTCCCTCGCTGATAGGAACCTGCGTACAGGTACCTTAGAGAACAAGGACATGACTGGCAAACCGTCAGGGGAAAGCAGAAGCACTCACACAATCTCCGTCTGAGCACAACCAATAACTAATCAACGGTCTAGAAGCGTTATACCTAATATGTTGTTTATCGTATCATTTCAGGGACAGACAAGAAGACGTGTAGCTGTGTCTTTCTGTCCTCATGGCCACCTTTTGGGGAATATAAATACTTTAAAAAGTTCACATTCAAGTACGACACATTTTGTGAGCTTTCTAATACTATACTCTTTTAAAAAGATCCATGGACAGCTAGTCACTATTCATGCATTATGCATCCAAACAGGAATCTCCTTCAGTACATACTCAACTTGACACAGGTATTGAGTACCTTTACATAAAGCTGTAGGTAGGTCTAGACAAACTACTTCCTCATTCAGATTAGGGAAAACAACTTGGCGTTGTTGTTCATGGGGGGTAAATATTGGTTTTAAAAACCTGTAGGGATACAGGCTAATACCCTTAATTCAATACAGTATGTACATATAAAATATGAACATTTACACATTGTGACAACCTCACAGAAAAGAGGATAATACTGTGCCCCTAATGGATTTGATCAGGTGAAATTGCTTTCTCTTAATTTATATTTTATAAACCCTGGTTTGTTAAGTTTGACTCTTGGGGGGTGAAAACTATGAGCTAACGATGGTTTTGGGAATTATGGTTAAACCACGTTAAAATCAGACTTCAAAATAAGTCATTTTAAAGCTGAGGTAGCTAGCAACACTGGGACATATTTAGTGAAGGAAAAAAACTATGATTGAAAGTCATGATTTTGTCACCCAAATTAAAAAAAGGAAACCTCACCTTGAAAATCCACCCCTATCATATACTTCAGGGTAAGGTTATACTTAAAAAATAATAAAAAAAATATCCCAAAAATTACAAAAAGAAAACCTGTAAAAACGTGTTCCTCCAAGTCAAATACATTATTATTACTACCAGAGTAGCCTACACATTTGTCAATATGTTGCAGACTGTTAGCAATATCATTTTTACAGTATGGATAATATAAATAAAATACATCATAAATACATCTTATAAATTATATACTTCAAGATGAAAACCCTTTTTAGTACAGTACCAATCAAAATTTCGCAGACTGAACAGAAACTGCAGAGCACAGCATGAAACCATGACAACCATAACCCAATGGCATCATCCACACCTCAGCACTGCCTCCTAATGACAGGAGGCCACATCCAGTGAATATCTTAAATAGTTCCATGTTCTCACTATACAATAACACTTTCAGCAGTTACTCAAGGACCAGTGGTTCAAGTACCAAAACTCTGCACAATAAAGTGTGAGACGTTTTGAGATCTTGGTCGTAAAAATTACACCAAGATCTAATCTTCTTATGTCAAATATCCTATCATCCTAATCTCCCATGTTTCCCCACCTGTTATAAGACAATGATATGATAACTGCTCTCTGAATAATATGAGTTGTTGTAAGGCTTGTGAACAGAAGCTCCTACGAAATATCGGACTTACAGTATATCTCATCCCTTTTATAATGTCGTAATCTTATGGCTGCTCATAGTGAACAAGTCTTCTAAATAAATATTTTAAGTGTTGTTGACTGACTACTGGCACAGATCTCCTTGCATTTCACGGATTCGGTTCAAGCCTCCTTGTATTGAAGTACCATTAGGTGTTGACTACAGTAAATGCTGAGCAGCTGAGTTTGAAGATGCGTTGAAGCAATAAAATGCAGGGCACAGCAAGCTCTTTACCTTCTAACTCTACTGAACATCTTGTTAAAAAAAATAACAACTCACTCAATCTCCCCAGCGGGCAAAACAGGTTGAAATGGCATCATTACAACCAGATTACACCCAGTAACCAGTTTTGCCTGCTGGGTCTGCTATTTTCGCTATTTCTCCCTTCAGACTCTTATAGCAAAACTCAGATTCCTAGAGGTGAAAAACCCAACAACACTGGGGTAACCATCCCCTGTAAGATCACAACATCATAAACAGCATATCCAATCATCCTAAATAAATAAATACTAGTTCCTATGGGGACAGGGGCGGGGACAGGGGTGTGGACCGGGGAATGGTTGGTTGTGCAGTGCAAAGGAGTTACACACAATATTGAGGTTACTTAGCTAGGCCCCTGTCCCATCTCCCATCCCCCTTTCTCCCTCTCCTCCTCCGTTGGGGATAGCTAGGCTACATGGGGGCGTGGTACCCGTAGATGGGTGTAATAATACCAAAGCCGCCTGCTGCCCTCCATCCTCCCTCAGTCACACGATGCTGTCCTGCAGGAGCCGCCTGCTGCCCTCCATCCTCCCTCAGTCACACGATGCTGTCCTGCAGGAGCCGCCTGCTGCCCTCCATCCTCCCTCAGTCACACAACGCTGTCCTGCAGGAGCTGCCTGCTGCCCTCCATCCTCCCTCAGTCACACAACGCTGTCCTGCAGGAGGGGCTCAAAGTCCTCGTCGCTGGTTGGCGCTGGTGTGTCCTCGTCGCTGCCTGGTAACGGGGTGTTGATGTGGACACCGGCTAGCATGGAGGTATCCTTGGCGTCAGCACAGGTCACTACTGGAGGTTCGGTGTTCTCGGGGATAAACAAGGCTACCAGGAATGCCACCACCACTGTGCATGAGCCCAGCAGGAAGGGAGGGCCGGGGATCAAGGATTTCTGTATGGAGAGAGACAGGGTATTATAGATAAAGAGCATAGAACTTTACTTTTCTGTAGGAACTTTATTTGACATTCATATTACACAAAGAATATAACCCATCTCCGAATAAAGAAACAGAACTATAAAGGAATATGGCAACAGTAAGATTGCAAGTGCCTACTTTGGAAGAAACATGTTTTAAAGCTAAATGAGACAGAAATGTATACAGCTGTATAAAGTCTGCCTAGACTACAGCCACAATGAAGATGTTACTGGTGATAGTGATTCATTTACCTCAGTCGGGGGGTTAATAGATATAGGGTCGATGGGGTACTCTCCCTGGATGGGGTCGATTGTGTTCAGCTCTACGTTAAACATGAAGAAGATAAGTCCATACAGCGCCGGGCCCAGACCGTTACACAGGCCTCGGATACCAGTGATCATCCCCTGAACCAGACCTGAGGAGAGACAGGTTATACGTTTATTTGTCAGGGACCATGAGCACCACATTTAGCTACATAGAACATCTGTGGTCGCTGGGCAGAACAGTATGACATCACAGAGAACACAGCATACAGATACATTAACATCCATGAGACTTCATTTCTGAATGAGGCCTATTATAAGGATGATAACTATAGGATGTCTGCTATGAAACAAATAGTCAAAGTTAAAAACATCCATGCCTGTATATGCTGTGGTGTGACTTCAAGGAAAATGTCAGGCCAAAATTTCAGTAAAAAAAAAAAAGACAATTTCATATTCATTCACTTTCAAAATGACTACGGAGGCGCAAAGGAAGAAAGGTGGTACCGAAGAGAACAGGACGAACGGAGAGATTACATCAAGGGAAAAGGGGAATATCTTAGAGCAGGACAAATGGATGAAGTACATACAGAAAAGAGGAATAAAGGGAATTACCCTGCTTATCTGGGTCTGCGCTGCGAGACACCAGGGCGCTCACTGCAGGAAAGGTGATACTAGACATGGCTGCTACTGCACCTGCAGCCCACATCATCCTAAACACAGAGGGGAGGCAGAGGGGAGACAGAGGGGAGACAGAGGGGAGACAGAGGGGAGACAGAGGGGAGGCAGAGGGGAGACAGAGGGGAGACAGAGGGGAGACAGAGGGGAGGCAGAGGGGAGACAGAGGGGAGACAGAGGGGAGACAGAGGGGAGACAGAGGGGAGGCAGAGGGGAGACAGAGGGGAGACAGAGGGGAGACAGAGGGGAGACAATGGTTAGCTACAGACACATACAGTATGAGACATCACTTAGCTATAGCAACTAGTGACCACACCCTCAGGACCAGCCCTTCTGAGCACGCTCCATGACCTCTGACAAGATTGATCACGATTCACCTTCTCTTCCCTTTTACTCCCTTTTTTGGGATTGTTTTTCATTTGAGCAAGAGAGAGATAACTGCATTAACGTTTTTTTACAATAAAGTGCGCAATCAAGGACTTGTAATACTGTTTTATAAAAAAACGAATCAGAGTTTTCGAACCGTTGTCCTAACTGTCAACACAGGCCAGCCCTGTTGATGTTTCTCAGTTAACCACAGTACAGCCAGCCCTGTTGATGTTTCTCAGTTAACCACAGTACAGCCAGCCCTGTTGATGTTACTCAGTTAACCACAGTACAGCCAGCCCTGTTGATGTTACTCAGTTAACCACAGTACAGCCAGCCCTGTTGATGTTACTCAGTTAACCACAGTACAGCCAGCCCTGTTGATGTTACTCAGTTAACCACAGTACAGCCAGCCCTGTTGATGTTACTCAGTTAACCACAGTACAGCCAGCCCTGTTGATGTTACTCAGTTAACCACAGTACAGCCAGCCCTGTTGATGTTTCTCAGTTAACCACAGTACAGCCAGCCCTGTTGATGTTACTCAGTTAACCACAGTACAGCCAGCCCTGTTGATGTTACTCAGTTAACCACAGTACAGCCAGCCCTGTTGATGTTACTCAGTTGACCCACCATGGTTCTGACCCGAAGCCATACCAAGCCAGCTGTAGAATCTGGAAGCCCAGGCCCAGTAGGACCGTGTTCTTGTTTCCAATAGTTCTCATCAAGACTGTCAGAATAAGTGTCTGCAACAAGAGGGAAACAATTAATACATTAATCAATCAAACAAATGATCAAATGTATTTATGAAGCTAATTTTACATCCGAAGTTGTCACAAAGTGCTAATTCATTTAATATGTATTGTAGGCCCACTCTTCATAAATATTGTATGCATAGGAATTACACAATTTGCTACATTACATTAGAATGCCTTTCTTTTAAGTAGTATAGAGCTGGCAGGGTAAGGCCATGTCAGCATTCTTTACATCTAAACGTGGAACTAGATTACATTCCAAAGGACAATAACTAATTTGAACTGACACATGTTGTTAACCTAAGACTTGATTAGATGTGATTGTTCAGTAACACATTGCAGTCTCCCAGAAACTAAGTTATATGGAGTAGCATTGCGCCAGATATGTACCTGGGCTATGATGGAGAGGATCCCAACCACCCCGATGAACACTGCGATCGTTGCCGATGAAAAGTTAATGACCTGAGATAGAGAGAAATAAATGGAGAGAGAGAGAGAGGGAGAGAAAGAGAAAGAAAGAAAGAGATAGACAGAGCCATAGACGGAGGGAGAAAGCCATAAAACAGCATTAGTCTCCCTCTTTCTCTCTTTGCTCCAAGGGTCCAAAGCAAATTAACGCCACTATGCTAAATGACTAGCACTTGACTGTGCTCAATGGAGAGTGAGCTGTTCAAGTAGAAGAGAAAGGAACGATGAAAGAACGCCATCTTTATAATTATAGGCACCCAGCTATTACGAACTGAACCCGTGGTAAACAACACTTTGTGCAGAAATAACTCAGCTGTTCTTCATCTCTTATTGATATTATTTGATTAGATTTCTTGTACTTGTATTTTATGTGGATGATGTTTCCATTAGCAATCTGGCATTCTGGCATGTTTTTCTTAATTGCCCCTAAGGGGATAAATAAAGTTGTATTGAATTTAACTGAATCTCATGTTTACTGCCAGATGGTGCAGGTAAATGAAGGGAACATTTTTACCAGTCTCAGGTAAGTGAAGGGGAAGTTTTTACCAGTCTCAGGTAAATGAAGGGAACATTTTTACCAGTCTCAGGTAAGTGAAGGGGAAGTTTTTACCAGTCTCAGGTAAGTGAAGGGGAGGTTTTTACCAGTCTCAGGTAAGTGAAGGGGACGTTTTTACCAGTCTCAGGTAAGTGAAGGGGAAGCTTTTACCAGTCTCAGGTAAGTGAAGGGGAAGTTTTTACCAGTCTCAGGTAAGTGAAGGGGAAGTTTTTACCAGAGCAGGTGTTTAGTTGTCTAAGGTAGAGGAACAACTAGGCATGGGCAGTATACCGTATATACCGTATACCGGGGTATTTGGAAATAGCCACAGGATGGTTTTTCAATACCGTCAACACTGTTGAAACTATCTCTTTGAAGTCTTTCAATAAAAACATTTTGTTTGTAGCTACTTTTTAAGTAAATACCTGCAGTCAACTTGTGCAATTTGTTAGGAGATAAAGCAGATTGTGCTCTTCATTTCACCTGTCACATTATGAAGTTTACCGTAGTTCCTCAGCACAGTTGAGCCAGTCATGGGTTTGTTTGTAAATAGCACAACAGGAGAAATCGGAAGCAGGTGAGTCCAGCTGTGTATTGACAGGGGTCACGTTTTATATTGGAAGTCAACAGTGTTTTTTTGCTTCAATAGAGTGATCAGGGATGTGCAACTATACTTTTCCTTCCCAGAAAATACATTAGTGCAACATATTCGACAGAAAATAGCTTCATTGTCATCAGATGACAACAAAAGTGTAACGCTATTTGGCTGGCAGCCTCACAAGTAAATGAGCTTACAATGAAAAAGCACGTTTTTGGGGGGCAAAAAAAACAATGCACGGCCATCATATTTCTAATGTTAATCATAGAAAGAACGTAACCAGTTACATTTCCTAATTTTTTTACCTAAAGTTAATTTAGCATTTTACTGGAGAAAAGTAGGCTGGCTACACCGAGAAAAGTACCGGAGAAAAGTAGCTCCACATCAGTCAGAGGACCGTCTGCTGATAGAATGCCCGTTGGTGAATTCTCATCCCAGCGGAGAAGTGCAACTGAAGCACAACATTAGTTTGATGCTGAGCAGAAATTACAATAAGAAGCTTTTTAGATCTGTGTTTACAAAACACAGCTAAATATTTCTTATGCGTTTTATATTTTCTTTCTGCGTGAAAAACAAAGAATTCTGCGTTAGGATGACCCCTAAGTTTAACTTGCTAGTTATCTGAGTAAGTGGCTGAATTAATAAGGTGACGGGGCATCATATTGTGTAAGCTTTCTGCCGTGTTTGAGAAGTCTAAGCCCTGTGGATGAGTTCTGTCCAGATGCCACTGCAGCTTGATTCCCTTGTGTTTTCTCTCCTCTCTGTTCTGGGCCCGTCTGCTCCTCCCCCATCTTCTCCGAGCAGAGCAGGCAGGCCCATTGCCCTAGCGCCTCCCAGACTCCACACAGACAGTATGTACACAGTACTGTTCTTCCTTCAGACAAGCATGCATCAAAACTTTGTTCATTTGCACAATGTCTCTTGTTCAGATTCGCTTGTAAATGTCCAAACTCACCAAAAATTACATTCGGTAGCTCCTACCTATATACTGTATGTATAACTTTCTGAGCTGGATTGCCAGTCTTTGCAATTCGTTTATTTTCTTTGTGCTCGTTAGCATATTTAGCTAGCAGCCTCCATGGAAATGATCTATTACTTGTGCTAATTTTGTTAGCATTCTGGTAATAGACGACCAATGGGCTTTTTAGAGTTTTTTTGGAGACCCCTTGTGTACTAAGCCAGTAATACCGTAAATCCCGGTGTGAGAAAGGACGGTATGAGGATCTGAAAATCTGGATACTGCCCAACCCTAGAATCAAGTTGGATATTTACCTGTCTAAGATATAGGAAGAAGCTGGAGTATTGGCCAGCCTCAGGTAGGTAGGACAGGAACACCGTTATACAGATAAGAAGAACCGTGGGATCCTTCCCTACTTTCCTCATCGACTGCAAACAAGAGAGACACCAAAGACTTTTAAACAACAGATATACATTAAACACGTTAAACAAGAGATACAAATACTTTTAAACAACAGAGAGACCCCAAAGACTTTAAACAACAGACCCCAAAGGCTTTTAAACAACAGTGACACCAAAGGCTTTTAAACAACAGTGACACCAAAGACTTTTAAACAACAGAGAAACCAAAGGCTTTTAAACAACAGAGACACCAAAGACTTTTAAAAATGGCCACAGACACTGATGAAGCTATGTAGCCTACTAACACGTCTGTCTGTACAGTATATCCCAGCCAGATCTCATTGACATTGCATGGAATAGTATAGCATGGCATACTCTAGCACTCACCTGGAAGGGGTCTGCCTGCTCCCAGGTGATAGGTGCTCCCCAGGTGTTGAGTCTCATCTTCTCCGGTAGGGACTCTGGCACGGCCAGCAGGATGAAGCAGATGTCTGCCAGAGCCACCAGCGTAGCCACCAACACCACCAGGTTGTCACCGTAACACGCGGACAGGTACGCCCCGATTGCCGGACTCGTCACCAGGCTGGCTGCAAATGTAGCCGACACCTAGAGGGAAACACACAGAGGACAAGGTGTGTTTGAAATGAAAAAATAGTTTATTTTTAGGTCCATTTATATTTAATCACGATAGTCCACTCAGCGACAATTGTCACAGTTTTCCATGAAGTCCTGTAGTGTATTTTGGGTTGTGTTTTTTATTTTTATTTTTTGGTATTGGAGTCAATAGCTGTCAATCACCAAATGTATGCAGCTATTTTTCGCATTTCACAAGTGGTTAAGCTATACAAAGGAAACGTAATTCATGTTAATGAATGTTATTCTTCATTCAATGCCAGGGCTCAAAATACAGAGAGAAAAGGATATGATACCCTGCTGTGACCTCAAGGGACCCATCCTGACACAACTGCATGAGATCTGAATCCACCGTGTGAAGGATAGGCTTATAGAAACCTGACACAACCTAAATCTATTCTCAACACAACAGAACACATTGCATAACCCATATAGAAGCACAGAACTTGATATTCACCCGCATAACTGTCAAATAGAATTGGAAAGATGGAAAGATAGAATTATCCACTACCCTCTACCCCAATCAACATGGGAATCAACTGAGAAAAACACTGTACGTCAAGGATGGGCAACTGGCGGCAAACTTACTGTTGAGTTAGAATAGTAGAATACACAAGGTGCAATTTCCAAATGTGGTTGTGCATCAGCAGTTTTTCCTCTTGTTATGTCAGTCACTGACAGTCACTCAATTAGCCCATGTCAGCTACATTTTCTTTAGATTGTTAAGTTATTAAGAATTACTGACCGGGGGCCCCATTGATTTTGTTAGTCACGCTCACTCAGATATCATTTTCAAACAGCAAACATTTCTCTCCAACCTATGCCAAAATGTGTAGAATTGCAAATAATCCGCTGTAAAACTGCACATTTTTCTCTCCGCCCCATGGCAAAAGAGTAGAATTGCATTAAATTAGTTATAAAATTGCTAAATTCTCTCTCCGCCCCATGGCAAAATCTGTAGAATTGCAGCAAACTTGCTTTAAAACTGCAACATTTTCTCTACGCCCTGCTGTCAAGAGGAGGGGGGCTGCTAAAATATTTTGCTCACTGTCACGTTTCCTCCCGTTGCTCCCCTCTGGCGCTCTGATTCGCCGGTCTACTGAGCCACCAGTCTGAGCGCACCACCTCGGCAACACCGGAATGGAAACCCAACGCACCGTAATCACCTCCAGCTTACCTGCACCTCATCATCTCATCACCACCCCTATTTAGCCCTGGACTGTTCTGGATGATGTTGTGTGTGATTGTTTAGCTTCGTGTCGTTTACTCTATCTTTGTTATTTCTCTTGCTCATTGTTTAGTAAACCTTGACCTTGTTAATTCCTGCGTCTGCGTCCTGCCTCTTCGTATACTCCGTACCCGTCACACTCGCAAGGTGGGGGCCCACAATAAAACTTTGCTAATGGCCCTGCATGTGTAGGTATGGATATGTGTACGCAGACCAGCGAGGCACTACTGCCCCTCATGATGAGTTCAGATGTTTTGTGGCCCCCACCCCCATCAAAGTTGCCCATCCCTGCTGTACGTCATTATAAAACTAAAACTAGCTCTTTACCAGTCCGTACGCTGTGCTTCTTTCATGCTCCTCTGTGACATCAGAGACGTAAGCGAAGATGACGGAGAAGGTGACAGAGAAAGCCCCTGACATGGAAATCGCTGCAAAGTACCACCTGAAGGAGGGAACATAATGTCAGTCACATCCAAGACAGTGCATTCCACACCATGTACTTACAAATAAGATCAACAAACACTCCTACAGACTCTAAAGCTAGAGATCTATTAAACAGGCATCAAAGTGTTTACCAATTAGAAATGCTGATTGAAATTGGTAAAACAGACAACTATATGGTATTTTCATCTAAACCAGCGCTGTTACAACAGCACTAACACTGGATTCCCTGTTTAAATGTGCATATTGTTTAATTCAAATCAAATACACAATGAATACTGAACCAAATCACAACAGTGTATTTTTCTTGGTCAGAAGAGAGGTGCAGGTCTTACCAGGGACTGAGTCTCATGAGCGGGATGGGGGCGCAGGTGAAGAACACAGTGACCAATAGAAAGGACCGCCTGCCCCACACATCTGACAGGGCACCAATCAGAGGGGCGCTCATGAAGGACAGGAGACCCTGTGGAGGAGGGTGAAGAGAGGGAGGAGCCTCTGTTAAGAACGTCATGGTTACCGGGAACCCGTAATGAGAAGCCTCATTAATCTTTAGTGGAAATGAGAGTGAACTTCATTATAATCAAGTAGCAGCAACAAAATGGCTGCCCTTTGCTTTCCTGAAATGACATATAATAAACCTATAATAAACTTATAATAAACATCCACTAGTTATGAAATAATAAGATACTGGAAAAAGATTAGCTAGAGTAACCAGAATACAGTATTGAGTACTGCTTTTGTTCAATCGCTCAGGGGGTCCTCATAGCAGTGATCAATAAATTACATAATTGTTGAATTCTTTGGGAGATAAACTGTTCGTAGTCTGCCAAACAACATTTTAGTATTTAGTTATTTCTACGCCTGATATCTTACCTTCACACCTTGAATGAGGCCATTCATCAGAAATGTGTGCTGTGGAAACGTTTCATGTAAAACCTGCGAAAATAAACCACAGAGAAACCACAAACATCTTTAAAGAGGCTCTTGCACAAAAAGGGTGCCAACTGCCAAGAAACCATAACAGTCACATACACACACAGCTGTGTGCTTAACAAGCGGTTTTACAAGCCAAGAAACCTACCCTACAGAGAGAAGACTAAAAGGGACAGATGGGGATGGAAATTAGAGATAGACAGGCAGTGAGAGAGGAAAGAGAGAGGGCGAGAGAGAGAAAGACAGAAAGAGAGGGAGCGAGAGAGAGAAAGACAGAAAGAGAGGGAGCGAGAGAGAGAGAGCGAGAGGGAGCGAGAGACAGAGAGAGCGAGAGAGAAAGAGGGAGCGAAAGAGAGAGACAGAAAGAGAGACAGAGAGAGACAGGGAGAGGGAGAGAGAGCGAGACAGAGACAGAAAAAGGGAATCAGAGAGAGAGACAGAAAGAGAGGGAGCGAGAGGGAGAGAGAGACAGAAAGAGAGGGAGCGAGAGAGAGAGAGCAAGAGGGAGCGAGAGAGGGAGCGAGAGACAGAGAGAGAGAGAGAAAGAGAGGGAGCGAGAGAGAGAGAAAGAGAGGGAGCGAGAGAGAGAGAGAGAGACAGAGGGAGCGAGAGAGAAAGAGGGAGCGAGAGAGAGAGAAAGAAAGAGAGACAGAGAGAGACAGGGAGAGGGAGAGAGAGCGAGACAGAAAGAGAGGGAGCGAGAGAGAGAGACATAAAGAGAGGGAGCGAGAGAGAGAGAGAGAGACAGAAAGAGAGGGAGCAAGAGAGCGAAAGAGAAGGAGCGAGACAGAAAGAGAGGGAGCGAGAGAGAGAGAGACAAAGAGAGGGAGAGGGCGAGAGAGAGATACAGAAAGAGAGGGAGCGAGAGGGAGAGAGAGACAGAAAGAGAGGGAGCGAGAGAGAGAGAGCAAGAGGGAGCGAGAGAGGGAGCGAGAGACAGAGAGAGAGAGAGAAAGAGAGGGAGCGAGAGAGAGAGAAAGAGAGGGAGCGAGAGAGAGAGAGACAGAAAGAGAGACAGAGAGAGACAGGGAGAGGGAGAGAGAGCGAGACAGAAAGAGAGGGAGCGAGAGAGAGAGACATAAAGAGAGGGAGCGAGAGAGAGAGAGAGAGACAGAAAGAGAGGGAGCAAGAGAGCGAAAGAGAGGGAGCGAGACAGAAAGAGAGGGAGCGAGAGAGAGAGAGACAAAGAGAGGGAGAGGGCGAGAGAGAGATACAGAAAGAGAGGGAGCGAGAGAGAGAGAGCGAGAGGGAGCGAGAGACAGAGAGAGCGAGAGAGAGAGACAGAAAGAGAGACAGAGAGAGACAGGGAGAGGGAGAGAGAGCGAGACAGAGACAGAAAGAGGGAATCAGAGAGAGAGACAGAAAGAGAGGGAGCGAGAGGGAGAGAGAGACAGAAAGAGAGGGAGCGAGAGAGAGAGAGCAAGAGAGGGAGCGAGAGACAGAGAGAGAGAGAGAGAAAGAGAGGGAGCGAGAGAGAGAGAAAGAGAGGGAGCGAGAGAGAGAGAGAGACAGAGGGAGCGAGAGAGAAAGAGGGAGCGAGAGAGAGAGAAAGAAAGAGAGACAGAGAGAGACAGGGAGAGGGAGAGAGAGCGAGACAGAGACATAAAGAGAGAGAGAGAGAGAGAGAGAGAGAGAGAGAGAGAGAGAGAGAGAGAGAGAGAGAGAGAGAGAGAGAGAGAGAGAGAGAGAGAGAGAGAGAGAGAGAGAGAGAGAGAGAGAGAGAGAGAGAGACAGAAAGAGAGGGAGCAAGAGAGCGAAAGAGAGGGAGCGAGACAGAAAGAGAGGGAGCGAGAGAGAGAGAGACAAAGAGAGGGAGAGGGCGAGAGAGAGATACAGAAAGAGAGGGAATGAGAGAGAGAGACAGAAAGAGAGGGAGC